TATTTTCATTCCAATGTGTTTTCCTCAAGTGGGAGAAAAAGAAGCGTAGCTGGGATTCCACAGAACTCACCACCTTCCAGGTCAGGCTCTTTTATAGAAATATCTGACTCTAAAGCTTTCAGTCCTCACAAATCTCCTGTGGCTGTTATAAATTCCTGTGGCATCTCAGTTTCCCCAAAGAGCTGTTTAGATTCTGGGAGAAGCTGAGCATATCCAGGGAAGTGGGTCACATGAGCAAGAGTCCTCTGACATGTGCACAGGTAGAAATAGTGGCAGAGAACTAGTGCTGTTGCATGTTAAGGTGTCACTTTAAGCTCCCTACATCACAGACCAAAACCCCTGCTACTTACCAGATGACTCTATTTCCTACACTCTTCAGGAACATTCCATAAACAGCTTCTAATTCAATTAGGCTCACCAGAAAAAAGGACTTGGTGAGCCCAGCCTGGAGCCTCCAAGACAAATATTTTCATGTACCAAAGAGCCCCAGAAAGGCGGAGTCTGGAAACCTGAGTTCCAGTCCCAGTTTAACGAGAACTGCTCAGCAGAGGGGGTGAAAGGACATGACATCAGACTCAGCTTATATCCCTTTTCCTCCCTCTTGTTATTTAGGTTTAGTTTTCTATTTTAGTGTGTATAATTGTTGAAGCTGATATGAATTCTCTGTCAAATGAAGCAGGGTTGATGTGTTTAAACTTTTTTTTTAATGTATCTATGAAATTACAGGTACTTACTTTACAGCACAAGTATCAAGGGCGATTAAAGCGTTTTTAACTTTTCGGCTCTGGGTATTACTTGATTAGATTTGCTCAAATTATTACATGTTACTAATAAGTTTAAACTCTGCTAGTTTCCGTATTTCTAGTTGAACGCTCTATAGTAAACCATCTCACCCAAATAAAATGTGCAGCATCTTAAAGTCTAACCTGTTGTTCCTTGCAATGGATCCTGATTAGAACAAGCAGCAATCTGCAAGCGTCCCTGTTCCTTGTTGAAACCAAGCCAACCCCAACCTGATCCTTGGACGCCAACAGATACAGTTGTCAGCTTCTCCTTAAATTTTTCAAAGGAACCGAAGTCACGTTTGATGGCTTCCAGCAACTCTCCTAATTAAAAAAAAAAAAAAAAATCCAAAATAAACCCATAAATGAACAGATTCCAACATTACAATAAATACTGTATTACATATATTAAAATATTATTGTCACATGGCCTAAGAAACAACTGAACAGCCTCACATGGTAGATAGAACACAGCCCAGTGAGCCCACACACTAGTGCTGCTCCTGCCCTGACAGCAGCATCTGAGGCTTCACACTTTTAACCCACATGTTTCTTAATGAAGCTTGTTTTTCTTTTTTTTTTTTGTCTTTTTTCCGTGTCCGGCAACGGATCGCAACCCTCAGTGTTGCCCCCGTACCGGACTGGGGACCGGCAACGGGATTGCAAACCTCGGCGTTGCTCCCGCGCCTCGCTCAGCCAGTGAGCGGGAACCGGTCT